AAGGGGGGGGGGGGGTGAAATCTGGCTATAGACCTTTACCCAGCCTGAGGCATGACGATGCAGTCCCATGAGGAACGACACATCCTTCTCAGGTATTCCATTCCTCAACAAATAGTTGACAGTGTGGTCCTACGATGCAACTGAAGGTAACACAGATGTGCCAAACCTTAGAGAACAGAAATTGCAGTTCCCCAACAGGCTCTATTACACCGTCTTCAGACAGAGCTGGGGAAAGGCCATCGGAGGCTGGCACTTTGAGACGTCTCAGAGCTTGGAACTAGCTCAGAAGAAGGATCTGTCCAGAAAAACTATGCGGCATGTGCCGCAGTAGTTGTAGAAGCTGACGCTGATTGCCAGCTAAATTGAATTATTTATCGACTTTTGAATACAAAANGGCATCAGGATAATTAGGGAGAACTGAACGAAATGCATAAAACATGATGCACACGGCTTACCGTATTCAGTGGGATGTTCACATTGTAACCCCGTCCCCGCCCGCTTCCGATAAAATCAAAATTGGACTCTCGAAGATTGGGCCAAAATTTCTGTTCATCATATCGATGAATTGAAATATACAAGACTCTGGTGGCCAGAAAACAGAACAAAACATCAACGAGGAGGGAAGTAGTGCAATCGAACATGAGACGAAACATCATCAAGACGTGATGGATCCATCATGATTTTTGACTTCGTTTATTAGAATATCTAGCGAACGAAATCGCGTACTGCAACGCGTGGTTCAGTATTTTCATGCAGACAGGAGATTTATTAGTTGAACCCAAACGTAGACATAAAGCGAATTTGCGACTTTTGTATCCACCCTCCTACCCACTCCCTCATTCAAAATATAAACACCGGGCACGTCGCAGTGATTTAGAAATTAAACTGTTCCCAGTTTATCGTTTTTTCATAGGTGAGTGAGGCTTCATTACACTGTCATAAGATATTTATGTAATTCATGCCTCCTAAAGCAAATCAAATGTCCTTCCGTGACGAGGATAGGGGGTTCAATGATGATTGTGAGGGGATGATGTGTACGAGTGCGATCCAATTGATTGGTGAAAATACGGTAGGAATCTGCGAATTCGGGGGATCAGTTCAGTGCAGTTTAGTTCGTTCAACCATCTACCCAGCCCTTTTGAGGTTGGTTTTGATTGATGTCCTAAGGCCACCTATTTGTTCACCAAATGAATATGTGAGTGACAGAGATCAGCATCTGAATAAAAATACAGAACACAAGTCAACAAGATATGCGGTTAGTAGTATCTAACCCACTTACAAAACATCGAATCATAGTATTGAAAGGGTTGTCCAAACCATTGTATCTGATGTTGCAAGCGAGGAACCGCAAAATTGGTCATGTGCTTTTATAGGGAATTTTTCATCTCATTAATACACTACTTATTGTGGCATATAATATATTCTTTGTATTTATATTTGCTAACTTGTGTAAGCATATATGTTTACATTCGAGTTAAAGCGTATAATACAATAAAAATGATAATAATATAATATCTCTATAGACTTCGGCGCTAAAATACCACACATGCGTACAAAAGAATCATTTGGAGTTTTACGCTGGCTTGGGGCCCCTTGACATTTCACGGTATCCATTCACGACTGAAAAATTCACTGATCACTGAGTAAATTGCCTCATTAACTTGATGCTTTATAACCTCGCTAACTCTCAGAATCACAATGATGATTGTTTGAATGTAACCGCAAAGAACTACTTCCCTATCAGCTTTCAATGCATCTATATCCGGTACTTGAAGGTTTGGAATATTCTCATCTTCGTGCCTTAAATGTCGTCGATCGGGGTTCAGATCCGATGATCAGACTGACCGAGAGTGAAAGACAACAGCTCATTGATGTAGTGCNCCCCCCCCCCGGAGAGAAGAGGCCTGGCTTTTTCATTCTGTGGAATCCACATTCTCATACAGACACATCTGTGAGAGACAGTGCACATGTTTGTTAAGAACCACGCAGTAACCGGATCCCATGACATCCAGTCAACAGAATTCGGCACATTTTTTGCGGCTTCTCAATTTCGACCAAAATCGACTCCCGTTTACAGTCAGTGCTCATCTCAGGGGATAGATGCAGCGTCTCGCAGGCTTCACATCCTGGGGCTCCCAGATTTCAACGATTTCGCACACATCCAAAATAGACAGTTGTGTAAGATCAGTCTGACGAGTGTCCGATTGCGTTACTTTCGGTGCCGACAGCCGGCGAATCGATAACACGAGTTGTCAACCCTGACCTAAATCACAGAAGTGCTCTCAGTCACTTGAATGATTACGTCTAACAGAATTTGACAGGCTTCAGGATACTGCAATGAGTTTTAACAATCCCAGGAAGGAACCGTAAATCTACATTCTGAAGTAGACGGGGGGGAGTATCAGGATATACAGACGTCAGGACAACAATGCGCCGTGTACCTTGTCTATTCATCGCGTGACCACAGAGCAGAGGAGCACAAGGGTACCTATTCACCTACCCNACCTACCCCGTGATTTTCCAAATTGGATAACCAGACTGGACCAGGGTGGATTTGTGTGCAATGGAAACTCACCTGGGATCATCATAGAACATATACTGAGTAGCTTGCCCGTGGTGCACGTCCCAATCCACGATCAAAATCCTAGACGGGGATGGATGGATGGGTGGTTGGTTGGGATTGAATAAACAGGTTGGACGGAAAACAAGAGAGAAGTGAATCGAACACTGTGACTGAATATGCATTTCCGTAAAAAAGATGATGGCTAAATCTGAAAACATTATGAGGAAAGTCAGCGGACGTGCGGATTAAATCCACCCGGTGATGGCGGCAATCTTGGATACGGAATATGATTATTATCACCATTATATTTCACGTTGCACATAGCCTAGAGGAGTTGTTAGGCATAAGTACCACAAACTCACGGGAAGCAGTGAGGAGGATTGTGATGAGACCGAGAAATATTTTTAAAAAAAACGGTGAGCACAGTCAAGGAGTTGAAGTTTGATAGCAGACCCGCCATTACGAAGTAGCACGTCTTCGTTTCCTGTCATATGACGATTGGATTACAATCCAATGTGAAAAATAAAAAGCAAAGGACGTACGCTAGAGCAATTTATTTCGGGACACAGAGAGACAAACATGTGGCAAAAAGATACAAATTAGCAGTTTCATGTTGTGAAATAGCTTAGACCGGTGCACAAACACAGACACGCAATCTCTCTTTCACTCCCTCTCTCAGTCTCCATTCTACTACAGTGAAATATTCTAGGGACAACCAATACTGTGTCCTGGGAATCACACTGTGCGTATATGACGACAAGTAGAATAGAATAGCAGAACAGACAGAGTTGGAAACCTCTCTATCACGAGTTGTTCATTCACTCACTCACTCACCGATTATAGTCCAATCTATTCAGCGCGTGCATTGCTCCTATTGCCACATTGTTATAGAGACAGAAACCACACGCCTCATTTTCCATGGCATGATGACCTGGAGGACTGTTATGTGAATAGAAGAAAAAACAATCGGTGCTTAACGGTGTAAATACCTGGGGATGGGACATATATCATAAACGTGACAGCGGCAATGCGCATATTGCGGAGAAATAGAAACACAAATGTCACAAAAGAATCATTGAGAAAAACAAACAAACAGAAGTTTGTAGATAACAACCGCGAGATTTTCCGTTTTTTGTCCGACAGAACAACAGCATAAAACTGATGTTACAACA